TTACTCATATTAAAAAAAAACTCATTTCAATAATAAAAAATATAGAGAATTTTAATACCTTTTTATTTCATTTTACATAATAAGGAGATGGCCCTTGCATGATGAAATTTGGCAAGTGGCTGAAAATCAACACCACCTACAATACTACAATAAATTATAAAGAACGATATGATCAGTAAAAATTCATATAATCAACTATATGTACTAGTTATTTAGCAAGCGGAAAAGGACCACAAGGGTAGCCACTTCACTGCACAAAAAGCCGCTATCAACAGTGTAAACTCCAAACAAAGAAACCATAACCAAGCATGACTAAAGGTGACTCCTAGTGGTTTGACTTCACAGTCATAACTTTCCTCCAACTTTGGGCCATGCTAGGGCTAATTTTCATCTTTCTCACACACACAAAGTAGAGAGTAGGCCCTTAAATTTCATCACATAAAACGACTTTCCTTTGCCATTAATGGAGAACATAATCATTAGGCTTTGAAGGTGAGTGAAATTGCCATGTGAAAGACCTTATCTTAAGTCAAAAAATATTTCCCCTAACCTAATATTACCTCGCAAAGATTAGATTAGTCTAACTAAATTCGTTCTTCACTTGTCCCTCTGTCCATCTTTACTTATCCACTATACTAAAAATAGTTGTCCAGTAATACAGCTTGTTCAGTTTGGATAATCAAGAGATAGTTAACCCTTTTGTGTCTATTTTATCCTTACTATTCAATATCTAATACATTTTTCAAAGCATTACATTTAATATATTCAAAGGATAATTTACCCCTATTGTTTATTCTTTCTTAATAGTTGATAACTATTATTGGACATAGGGATATTTCATTAATAGAGTTAGGCTATTGAGTTCTTTGTTTAAATCTTTTTGATGATTAGATAGGTAATTAATAAAGAAAGTAATTGAGGCATGCATGTGACTTCTTCAAATATATTCATAATCACCCATTTTGAATTATTTGGGAGTGCGGTAAGAAATTTTGAGAATGATGAGAACAAAAAAAGATTTCAAAGAAGGTCCCATAAATATAATTACAACTCATGTTATATCATAAATAAAGTTGCTTTAAAGTGAAGATATATTGGAGTGGAAAATCCCACCTCCATGAGTTTCCAAAGTTTTATTTTTATTATTACTAACTAGTAGACAAGAAAATGATTTGGACCTTCTAAAGTAGGTATAAATTAAAAAGGGGTGGAAACTAAATTGACAAGGTTGTTGGGAATTACTCCAAATATAATTGACATGCTTAGCTAATGGAAAAGGGAAAGGAATCACTATGTTCTTATTTTCCTATTTATAATCATTACACATATATCATCTTTGGGAGGTGATTAAATTCTATTTGCCCTTTGGGTTACTCAAAATTACCTCTTTTTTCCTCTTATATTAAATAGATGAATTAGAGTATGGATGATTAAGTCTAATAGCATGCAAGCATGTAAGAATGCTAGAGTAGCATTTTCATAGATGTGGAGAAATATAATTGATCTAAACATAACACCTATATAATTAAGTGAAGCTTTTAGTAGCTATAGATAATGGAGAATAAAAAGTGTTCCCTGCCAATACACTCACCGCAGGTTTAATTTCCATCTAACTAAACAATTAACTTTAAGAATCAACACATCGAAATGAAAATGTGTATCACTTAACCAAGTGTTAAAAAGTACGTATACAAGACATGTGTGTTATATTTATTGATTTGATATAAACACTCTGTATAAATATGTTTTAACCCAATAAAACTAAAGACTTCTCTGACCTTGTAATAGCACCAGATGTCAACTTGGGTAAAAATGGTTAAAAGTTAAACAACTTCTAATTTCACCATGGTGGACTTAAGTGAAAAGTCGGATAAAAAAACACTACTTACCAAGGTGAATTAGCTTTTAGCACAATATCTCACAAGTATTTTCTGGAAGATTAAATACACAATCTTCTCATTTGTCCTGGCTTTAGTGGACATAATTATCTAATACCTATTGTTGATGGAAGGTGATAGATATTCTGTGAAATTAATCGAGGTGCACAATAGCTGATCCGAACACGACAATCATAACAAAAAAAGATTAAATACACAATCAGAATATCTCTATATAGGAATCGAGTGGTCAAACAAAAACACTCCTATTATTGACTAGGACTACAAAACTACATCAAGTTCCCTCTTGCTATCTTTCAAAAGACACATTATGTCTTCATGGAATTCAGCTAATATGTACAATTTCAAGTAAGGTTGCATGAATTCCATTAACAAGTCCAACCTAACGACCAAAACTTCAAACTAATAATCATTGATATTAAGAAAATATAAGTTTGTTCACTTTTTCCTATTCTTTGTATACTGGACTAAGCGCTAAGTCTACTTAATCATCACAACCTTCACTTCCCCACTTTGGCTACTTTTTCTGCTCAACCTTTCAAAGCATATAATCATAAAACGTTGCCATTGTAGGTCACTCATAGGGTTGTTTGAAAAAAAAGTTGTAGGGACATTAAACATACACCCATGGGAGTCCCTATGATCACTTGAATTCCATCATCCTTGAGTTCTATTTGACCATGGTTCACTGTTATAAGAGGATCATCAATCTGTGAAGTTGCATAAAGTGGGAGCACGATTTATCTACAAGTGGAACCAAACAAAGTATCTAGAGACAGTCCACACAATAATGATAAAAGAGAACTGACATAATGAGTAGAATGAAAATCTGTACAGGATATATGAACTTAAACGTACATATGCAGCATCCTATGATACTGAACAGAACATTTTTAGGTACTAATAAATAAATAGTAAAGCCTCTGAACAGATTTTGAACAGAGAGCTTATTCTGTTACTGTATAGTAATTACATCTTAGAGCCCCCTTAATAATGCTGCATTAAACTCAGCTTGATCTCGAAAAATACAAAGGAAGAGAAACCGAAGCAAAGTTTATAATGTAATGCGATGAAACCATCAGGTAGCAATGCAGCATTCTTACTACCACTTTGTTAGTTTTCCAACTGAACAAATGTTTCTACGTTTCACGTGCAAGAGCAAGGGGAAATGAAGAGTAGATTGCATAAGATACTTATACCTGCACAAAAATTAAAACTAAATTTTGGTAAAATAAAAATGTTAAAAACAATGTATGATATACATTAACAAGTTGAATGCCATCTCACTGTTGACAAATGCTAATCATGTTTTGGCTAAATTTACGCTTTTACCAGGACACAGAGGCACCATGTCAAAGCGAACCTCAAGATAGAGTATCCATAAGTCTGAGCACTGATCGTGGGGGGTAGATTGATCTCGCTAGACTGACTTAATTCTTCAGTCAGTATGATCCCTGAAATGTGTAATTTCGTTAATAAAGATGGTCTCATGACTATAGCTGAAGATCCAAAAAGATAACAGCAACGGAGACTCCAAGAACTCATATAAGGAGAAGAAGAAGAGGAAATCTATTTTGCAAAGCAAGACTGCTATGCATGCATATAGCATCGATCCAGTTCAACAGTCACCTGCATATAGAGTTTTAAAGCCACTACTTACATGATAAAGGCTGCTACAGTGAAGCAGGTTATTCCCACGGAGAAGTGAATGCAAAAAGTTCTCAAGAAGTTATACCAATGTATTAACTACACTGGTAAGATAGATTCTCAAATGCAATGCATTATGAAGTATGAAACTAGGTCTGGAGAATCAATTAGAGTCTGTTTCACCACTCACATGTTCTCCTACTTGTGAAAATTATTCTGCTTGAACTCTTCAAAAAAGTCAACAGACGCTTGTCGTGTTCTCCAAAAATACAAAATAGTGTGTATTTTTGGAGAATCTGATGAATGGGTGCAGCATCTAAAGTGAAGAGTCCATGCAACTTAAGTGAAAACCATGCTCCATGTAGCTACTTCCTCAGCATACAGGCAGTACTTTTGACAATAGTTCTTTAAAATGAAAGCTTGTACTAGTGAAATATTGCTAATAGATGAAATATGAGAACCAATGACCTACATATGATTTACGGAATCTTCAAGAAAATAACTCCATAGAGTAATAAGACCAAATTTATTTTTCGCACATTAGAGGAGGTGACCTTAATTCTGACCAAGAACTGAAGCACTAAGAAGGATCAAGATTTTCTTTTTATTTTTTGTTAAAAAGAAAGGAAGGTACATCAAAACTCAGGCAATAAACAAATCCTAACACTTCAAAGATGTCATGAGGATACTTACTGAATTTGCCAAAATCAACCCAATTACACCAGCTGAAGTTATTAAACTGACATTTATCACTAGGTAAATACTTGAGAATACAAGCAAGAAATCCCTTATCAAAGGAAAAAAACACACAGGCAAGAAATAGTTTGAGCACCTGAGTTTGGTGCTCATTTAACAGCATGCAGAAATGCTTCAGACTTTCCAGCACCAAATACAAGGGATCTAACTTAGATTGCTAGTTTGCTGTAGCAAGGCTGGCAAAATTACGGAATCTTTTAGTTCGTTTGGATTTCTAATACAAAACTCCACAATGATGTAGAACAAAATCCATAAAAGCTCAGTGGCAGAGTCTTCTAGATACATACTTGATTTAGAGAATCCAGCTATTTGAAACTAAATAAAGAACATTATGAGAGCTATTCAAAAGGCATAAAGAGATTTCAGTCGGTAACATCGTTTTTGAAAAATATGATTTGGAGACCCAAATAATTATAAACTAAAAAGCCCCTTACATAATGAGGCAGCTGCAGCAGCATCTGCTGCAAGGACGCCTAGGTAGCTTCTTGATTGACAGTGATCCAAAATCCATGTTAGACGGGGTAAGGTTATCAAAAGATTGTTTCTTTAAACAAACAGGAACTTGCAGCAATTATAATTGACATCTCCTTGTTGTCCTTTAGAGGACGAAGAATTTGCCTCATCCTGATTGGTCTAAATTCCTTAAGTTTAAGAACACAAGCACAAATGGTGGCTTGTTCCTTCTTACCCTATTCCCAAAAAAAAAGATGTCTTGTTACTAAAAGTGACCAAAATCCATTTCCATTTGATGACTTGCTAGGTAAGCATGGCTTCAGAAGTTAGCCTCTTTTATGGAGTCAAACAGGCACACCAAGCTATTAAAGCTTTGTCCATAGGCAAGCCCCTACTGCAAAGTTTCAAGAAAACTTTGCATATTGTGACCAGAAGTCTCTGTGTACAATGCAAGAAAACTGTGCTTGAAAATGGATTTGAAACAACGAGATATGTGCATACTAATAATTGCCAAGTTCACTTTTAAACAATGTTCAAAACTGAATCCTTTTCTGAATTACAACAACATACTGTAATCCACAAGTGAGGTAGGAGGGTGGAGTGTACGCATACCTTATCCCTACCTCGTAGAAATAGAGAGGTTGTTTTGAATAGACCTTAAATAAGCTTTGCCAAATAGTTTGAAAAGAGGATACAAAGATGGAAGCAATAACAACAACAAAACAATGCGATTAGACCTCAAACTTCATTTTTGATTATCAATCAGAGACTCCATTGCAATCAATCTACTAAAAAGCTCTATCAACCAGAAAAGCTCTGCCTTGTAACAGAAAGCCAAACCTGCCTGCACATCTCAACAGAGATGATTATTTTTTTGCAAATGATTGGTTGAGAGACGGCGAAAAGGCACAAACGCGGTTCATTTGACCACTCAGCTATCTACTTGGGCCGAGTAAAACTTATGAGTATCATAAATTTAGTCACCATCTCTGTGAACCCTACTATAAGGTGGTGGTGGTGGTGGTGGGGGGGGGGGTTCGACTCAGAGAACTCATGTTTCAGACTAGAGATTTCCACGCCAATTTAGGAACTACTGGAGCATCACTGCTCTCTAAGCTTCTAGTTACCCAAGCACTTATATAACCTCCTTAAGGTGAATACAAAGCAGTGCTAAGAGGAAAAAAGGCAGTGAAGAACTTCTCGGGGAGTGCTATTTTTATTGAAATTTCCCCCTTCAAAATTAATGTAGCTATTCATAAAACTAAAAACTAAAGATCATTGACAAAGGGGATATAACACTACTATCAGTTAAATTTACTAGACACACTAATTACATAATCATGACAAAGCAACTCCGGTATCCATTCTGATACATGATTACTGACTTTGTGGTACAACAGCCTAATCTCATAGAACACATGATTCTATTAAGACTCTGGTTAGAAATAAAACATGCTGAAAGCATCTGAAGAAATATCAGCACACTTAAACTATCAGAAGAAATAGAATGTATGACATGATGGTGCTGATAACAGCCTTAACCAATAAAAGCTTTTACCTTCGGCCTGATCACCGGAAACGGCAAGCAATAATTTAAATCTTTCATAACTTTTGCTTGAAAAATGATATCCTTACCATCAGACGTTTTAACAGAAGAGGTGATATAGAAGATGAAGTCATGACAACCACCTCCATTCACCATCAAAATGCCATTGACCTCATAATTGATGCCCTAAATAAGTCGAGTAATTTCTTAGATACTGAAAGGAAACAAAGGAAAAGGACAACGAGTAAAGACAAGGAAAGTGCATCTACAGTATACCGTTTCATCATTCTTAGGATCATTCAAGTAGTATGGCACTGGGTAGACAGTTGTCATCGCACACTGTACGGGATAATCTGTGATATCAAATCCCTGCAGAACAAATATCACCTATTGCATCCAATTTTCTATGTAATTAGTTAGACTTCAGAAAAATTGTAGAACCTATATCAGGCAAGTATCCAAAGATACATTGGCTTGGAAGTACTACATAACATGGTGTGTTTTTTACAAGGTAAGATAATTGAGTAGTAAGTACCAAGTAGGAAAGTTGTTACAATTTCAATTAAGCATATTCACGAAATCTAGAAATTGCCAAAAAATATCAGCTGTCCTAGCCTTGCACCAGGAAAAAAAGATTCAACAAATGTCTAAACAAAATTAACAACGGATATGATTTTTTGGCCTTCAAAACACCTCCTATTTCTTTCCAACCAGACCATCCACATTATGCATGAAGGGATAGTTCTCCAGATTTCCTTTGCTCTAATGTCAACCCTCTGATGCTGCCGTCATTCCAACAGGTTTCTCATACTGAGACTTGAGTGGCTTGTCTAGTCCACCCCACGTAGATTTGTGTAAACTGTCCACACTTAATAAGCAGATGACTAGCAGATTCTGCGGCTTCTTCACATAGGAAGCATCTATTGCATAAAACAAAAGCCTCTCTATCTTTGCAACACGTCTTGAGTGAGGCATGCATTCTTAGTTGCTACGTATCCAAAACAAACTGCTTTAGGAGAATCAAGCTCTAGTCTTCCAAAACATCTCACATGGCCAGTTATTCTCCACCGAATCAATCTGCCTCTCCAATAGCTTGTAACAACTCTTCACACTAAATTTCTTACTTTTACTAACAGTCCGTACTTTAGAATCTATTCTTCTTGCAGCAATGCTAATGTTATCCAATAAACTCAACCGCTCACCGATTTCTTTCACCTCCTCGTCATTGAAATTTCTTCAAAAGCTGAGAAGCCAGCCTTAGATCAACCCTTAATCTGAACTCCAATCTATGCTGACTCCCCCACCCTCAAAAAGAATTCTTCTCTAATCCTGGAGCTTATCCATGCTTCGATGTACTTATTGAACCTAAGATCTCTTTAACATTTCACACGATCCATCTCATTTGGATTCATAATCTGACCAGTTGAATCAGCTTTCCCTATGATTATCTATGCAACAACTACTATAACCCATCAATCACAAGCAAGTTGAGGTCGACTACATGAATTATCGTTGATAATGATGCTCCATTTAAGCTCATCTTACCATTATCTACTATCATGTACAATATTTAAACAAACCAGCTGCAATGAAGCCGATTTTTTAGTCATTTTGGTGAAATGAATGGAATAAACAGGTTGAGGCTGGTGGGAACTACCCTAGATTCATATAAAGGTTGATATGCAAACTACATACTCCTAAATCACCATAAAATATTGCTAATTTTGACTCAAAAATTTTCATATACAGGTCGTTAGGCAAACTATAGACTCCTAAATCACCTTAAAATATAGACTCATATTTTTCATAAATGACTCAAATTAGAAAGGAATAATAAGGTTGATAACTCCATGAATGGAGGTTGAGAACTAGAAGCAATTACAGAGCATTTGAGAGAAGACAAAAGATGAGAGAGGATTTATTAATGTCTTAATACAATGAATCTATACATGTATCCCTTTGATACTACACTATCAATGAAAGGGTGCAAAATATCTCTTAACAACTTTGTAACTAACTACTGCCACCTCATCAGCTTGTAACTAACTTCTAAATGCTATACCTAACATAACCATACAACTTGTTAGTTCTTCATTACACTTGCTAACACTCCCCCTCAAGCTTATGGTTGAAATACATTCTTCATTCCAAGTTTGCTTAGTAGTAGATTGTGTTGTCCTTTTCCAAGACTCTTTGTAAGTAGATCAGCCAGTTGATGCTTGGTGTTAATGTATTCTGTCTGCAGTACTCCTTGAAAGATTCTTTCTCTCACAAAGTGACAGTCTATGTCTATGTGTTTTGTACGCTCATGAAAGATAGGATTGACAGCTATTTGGATGGCTGCCTTGCTATCACATACCATTTTGACTGGTAATGTTACATTGATTCCCAACTCCTTGTATAAGCCTATTAACCAAGTTATTTCAGCTGCACATGTAGCCATGCTCCTGAATTCTGCCTCAGCTGAGCTTCTTGACACAGTTCCTTGCTTCTTAGACTTCCAAGATATTAATCCTCCTCCAAACTTCACCAGATACCCTGTAACTGACATCCCCCCAGTCAGAGTCACAATAAGCTGTTAGCTGTGTAGTTTGTTCTGCTGGCATTAGTAGTCCTAGACTAGGGGCATCTTTGATATACCTTACTGCTCTTAATGCTGCTTCCATATGTGATTCCTTAGGACAATGCATGAACTGGCTAAGAACTTGTGAAGTAAAAGCAAGATCAGGCCTAGTCATGGTTAGATAGAGAAGCTTTCCTACCAGCTTTTGATACATTGTGGGATTAGCAAGTGGCTTATCATGATCAGGATTTGAACCAGTCACATGTTCATCATATTGAACTGATGTGAGTTTTTTGTTCTGCTCCAATGGTGTATTAGTAGGCTTTGTTCCTCCTAGGCCAGTCTTAGAAATCAGCTCCAAGGCATATTTCCTCTGTGTCATCAGTATACCCTTGTTTGATCTAGAAAACTCAATACCTAAGAAGAATTTTAGTTCCCATAGGTCCTTCATTTTGAACTTTTTTTGAATCTTCTGTCTTGTGTTGCATAGAAGTTGGTGATTACTTCCAGTGATCAAAAGATCATCTACATACACCAGCACCACCACAATGTCACTCCCAGTTTGGTGTGTGAATATAGAGTAGTCATAGTGGCTTTGTTTGAACCCCATCTGAACTAATGCCTCAGTTAACTTTAGATTCCACTGTCTAGGTGCTTGTTTCAAGCCATATAATGACTTGTGGAGTTTGCAGACCTTGAGACTCTCCCCTTGTCTGGCAAACCACAGGGAATCTCCATGTAGACCTCCTCTTGCAAGTCACCATTCAAGAAGGCATTGTGGACATCCATCTGATAGATATACCACCCTTTGGATGCAGCCAAAGCTACCACAGATCTGACAATCACCATTTTTGCAACAGAACTAAAAGTCTCACCATAATCAAGCCCCTCTTGTTGACTGAAACCTCTAGCCACAAGCCTGGCTTTGTACCTTTAAACCTCCCTTGAAGCTAAGAACTTAATCTTATATATCCATTTGCATGCAATAGGTCTCTTTCCAAGTGGTAAATGAACTATGCTCCAAGTCTTATTACTTTCTAGAGCATCAATCTCTAATTGCATAGCCTGTCTCCACTCAGGATCAGTAGCAACTTCTTTATAAGAACCAGGTTCAGAGACAACTAAGTATGCATTCAAAACCTCTCTATATGAGGAGGATAAGTGTTTGTAGGACAGGTGATCTACGAGTGAATAAGAACAGGCATAAGACTTAGGCTTAGTAACAAAATCCTACAACCATAGTGGAGGTTTGCTGGACCTAGTTGACCTTCTAGGAGGTACCTCAGTAGCAGGAGGGATCTTAACAATAGGCCCAGGTAGGACATGACTTACAGTGTCAGCTACCCCAGGTGGATCCTCAAGTGAATCAGGTGAAGGTGAGGCAACATGGTCTGAGGGACTAGGAACATAGTCCATTATTGGAAACATAACATTTGGTGAGGCTTGGAGATGTTTGTAGGGAAATAAGTTTTCTTGAAACACAACATGTCTATTGACAAAAAACATCTTGGCATGAAGATCATATAGAACATATCCTTTTTGTGTTGAGGAGTATCCCATAAATATTGCAGGAACAACCTTGGCATAGAACTTATCAGGTTTCTTAGGACTAGTAGCATAGCACAAACAACTAAATATCCTTAGGTGAGATAGGTTTGGAAGATGCATATACAATTTCTCAAATGAGGATTTGTGGCCTAGTAACCTGGTAGAAAGTCTGTTTAAAAGATACACATCTGTGATGACACACTCTCCCCAGAACCTCAAAGGTATAAAAGCTTGAAACCTTAGAGCTCTGGCCATATCAAGAATGGTTCTATGCTTTCTTTCAGCAACCCCATTTTGTTGTGGGGTATATACACAAGTAGTCTGATGTACAATGCCCATTTCACTCAATAGATTCTGAAACTCAGTACTTAGAAATTCACAGCCACTGTCAGACCTGAATGTTTTAACACAGGTGGAAAATAAATTCTGAACTCTTGTATGGAAATGTTTGATTACAACTATTGAGTCAGCTTTGGAAGTAATCAAAAACACCCAAGTGTATCTGCTAAAATCATCTACAATTGTAACAAAGTACCTCTTTGCATTATGAGTAAGAACCTTATAAGGTCCCCACAAATCACAGTGAATCAACTCAAATACAGCAGTAGTGTTATGAGTACTAAAGAAAATGGAAGTTTTGATTATTTAGCTACAGGACACGCAGTACAATGAAAATGGTCTGTGAAGTTTAGAGATCTGAGAGACTCATGTCTCTTTATTACATTAATTGGAGCATGTCCTAACCTCTTATGCCAAACATCACTAGAAACAGACTTAGCAGATACAGGAACTGCAGTAGTAGTATTGACCAACTATTTTGGAGTGTTACTTGGTTCTTCATGAAGAATGTAGAGTCTATGCTCTTCTTTACCAATCCCCTTCACCGAACCAGTGGAGAGGTCCTGGAAAACACAGAAGTCAGGAAAAAATGCTACCATACACTGTAATTCTTTGATGAGCTTTGAAACTGATAGTAAGTTGCACTTGAACTCAGGAATAAAAAGAACATTAGAAATGGACTGATCTGTGAACACATAAGACTTGCCAAAATGTGATACTGACACATTTTTTCCATTTGGTAGATGTACTCTATTATCTGTATGAGGAGGTGTCTTCTTAGCTTTGTCAACAATAGCCATGTTAGATGTAATGTGATAAGAGGCTCATGTATCAATAATCCATTTACTGCTACAACTACTACTACAAGATAGAGCTGTAAGAGAGCTACCTGCATTTGCAACAGTGGCAATGTTTGTAG